CATAAGCGCCGTTGCCCATAAGAGGCGTGCTTCGAGACACGGCGAGGAAATTTATTTATATAAAGTGGATGCTGCATTTTAGAAAGTGAACCAAAAAATTGATAAATTGGTTTTTAAAATGTTTATTAAAAAGAACATTAGGTATATAATATTTTAATATTTTGTATAATCTTTTAATTTTAATTTTAATCCTTCTATAATTTTTAATTAAATTGCATTCAATTATATACAATTAATAATTTCACAGACATCTCTTTAACAAATTGCACATTAAAAAAATATATAAAAATATTGTCATTTTATTTAATTAGTGAATTAAAATTATGAAAATCAAAGTAGATTATAAAGGAATTTTACTTACTTGAAAAAATTATTTAATATCAGCAGAGATATAAACAATCAACCTAATTTGTTCAAAACAATAATCTTAGGTTTTTTACGATATTAGAGTGTTATGAATTGCAAGTTTCTCTGCATGAGGAAGCATAATAAACCCAAACTTATAAAATGGAATAAGGTTAGGGTTCGGAAAAACTAATTGTATATAAATTAGCTAAGCTAAATTGAATTAAATTGGTTAAAACCATAATTCTAAAGCAATTGGCTAAAGAAATCATTTTATGAGAAATGAGAGATTCTTTAATTAATTATAATAAGTAAAGTCGTGATTGCAAAATGTCAAGATTTTGTAGAATTGCAATAAAAACATATATATTAGTTTAGATGTGAAAAAAAATTATACTTGATCCCAAATGATCTATCTTTTTTGGCTTAGAATATTATAGTAATTTATTAGATTAATGTCTACTAATGGTTTAGTAAACTAGAAATGTCTCTATAAAATATAATGAAAGAATATTTTTAAACCAAATATTTTTTTTTCAAAATTCTACAAAAATATAATTAATCATCTTTACAATATTGCAAAAGCTAATCTTTTTTCAATTTAAGTAAAAAATATTAATTGATTTACAGAGAGCCGCATCAAACTGCTATTTAGAAACTTAAATCTAATTTTTTTTATAATAAACAATTAGCAATAATACAAAGATGAAACTATTTCTAATTTTAACGATTTTATTAACTTAAATCATAAATCAAAAGCCTTTAGTCAAAATACTCAAAATTAATAACTTATTGAAACGATTAGATTGTGCAAAATATTTCAAAAGCCAAACATATCTTTTTTTCATAAATTGAACAAAAAGAGACACAATTGTATTTTTTTTCATAAAGGTTAAATTAATTTTGAAAGAAATTTTTTTAAGGAATTGTTACAAGTTTTTTATTGATGGGAAATTAGATAAAATTTTAAATATTTTTAGGTCATTTCTCATTATCTTAAAAACAACTGCTTTCTGTAAATTTAAATTAACCTATATGAATTGTTAATTAAAGCGCGACTCGATATTCAATTAGAGATTATTATCAATTCTACGGACTTTAAAAGAGCTTTGATCAAACTTTAACAATAATCATTTAAAATTAATCTTCTTTATTTAGAAGTGATTAATTTCTTATTTGTGGTTTGTTTTAAAAAATATTGTAGTTGCTCTAACTTAACATGGGAGACTCAAGATATCGAGAACCATCCTTTTGTAATTTAGTGATTTCTTCCCTTACTAAATAGATTTTTTCTTTGGTTAATTCTATTTTTTACTATTCTCTTTTCTTTGGTTTTGATTTTTTTCTTGTGCCTAGACACTATCTTCTCTTAATTAATCAAAGTGATTAAAAAAGTTAAAAAATTGAAGTGGTGAAAAATCAAAACATTTTCATAACAATTTTGTACTTTTATTGAAAAGCTTAGCAGTCTCAGCACGTTATAGGCATACTATGATGAAGGCACTTTTGCCATTTTTGACTCATGATATTTTCCTTCAACAAACATAATCAAGTCAAAAGTCAAAAGAAAAATTAAGGCTATAAAAAATATCTAAATTTAATGTGCAAATTTTTCTTAATTTGAAACAAGCCTCAAATATTTAGTGAAATGATTTAATACGTTAAATTCACCCCTTAAATTTTATTAAAAAATGCTCTACCATATGGTCAATAAGAAACTACCTATTGCTATCTATACTTCGAAGGATCTCTTATTTATAAAGAATAGCACAATTATAAGTTATTGTATTTCACTCAATAAATCTTAACAAGTGAAGGATCAATGATTGTATGTGGATCTATAGAAAATTCACTTATTTTCCCATCGAGAATTTTGAATTGCTAGTTTGTATTTTTTATTATTTAATATTTTTGCTTTATACTCTAATGCAAAAATACCTATCTTTTTTCGAATAGCTTTAGTAGTACAGCCAATCAACAATCAGCATTACTTTAACACTGACAAATTAAAAGTTCAAAAATTAGTATGGGTTTTAATGATTCATTAATAATTATTAAATACTTTATAATAATTATTCATGAATCGCTGATTAGTCTGATAAATCTATGGATTAGATTGTGTTGGACTATAACTATATAAAAGTAAAACAACTCTGGTTGTATCCAAATGGGAATTGGACCATATTCCATTTATTTCAACAAATATATATCCTTGATTAAATAAATTTAAACAT